TAAACGGGGCCGGAAACGGGGCCGGAAACGGGGCCTTACGGGGCCTTACGGGGCCTTACGCGGCCGTACGGGGCCTTACGGGGCCTTATGGGGCCTTAAACGGGGCCGTAAATGGGGCCTTACGGGGCCTTACGGGGCCGTAAACAGGGCCTAACGGGGCCTAACGGGGCCTTACGGGGCCTTAAACGGGGCCTGACGGGGCCTTACGGGGCCGTAAACGGGGCCTTACGGGGCCTAACGGGGCCTTACGGGGCCTTAAAAGGGGCCGTAAACGGGGCCTTACGGGGCCTTACGGGGCCGGCGGTGGCTCTAAGGGCAGGCGCAGGGGCCGCTACGGGCCTCGAAGGGCAGGCGCGACGCGCGCGTCGAGCAGGTAAGTAAAATTTCGGTGGTGGGCCCTTTAAGAAAAAACTCGAAACTAGCTCTATACCATGTGAGATGATTGACGAAAGAATGAATGAACTAGGAATGAGATGGGTACAAGTAGAAAACACAAAAGTGTTGTACCCTCTAAGAGCTACCCCACTACAGCCTAAATAGACTATAGCAGATATAAGTTTGACATGGGGCTCGTGCTTGGAGGATAGGGTTCAGTGGTACTCACAGGACACTCTGACGATTCTTGGGCTGACGACCAAGCGACTCAGCGTTCGTCACAGGGTTACACCTTCATTCTTGACTCTGGTTCTGTCTCATGGAGGTCCACTCGTTCTTCTTCTGTGCTTGGTTCCAGCTGTGAGGCCGAGATCTACGCTGGGGCCATGGCTGCACAAGAGCTACGCTGGCTGACCTACCTGCTGACCGACTTGGGGGAGCGGCCTCGTTCTCCTCCAGTTTTGTACGTCGACAATAATGTCATGTTTGCCTTGTGTCGGGAGCAGAGATTGGAGCACAAAACGAAGCACATTGCTCTTCGCTACTTTCTTGCTCGAGAGATGCAGAAGTGTGGTCAGCTTCGTCTTTCTTACGTGGCCTCTCGGGCCAAGGTCTGACGTGAACACTGCTGATGTCTTCACCAAGGCCCTCGGGTCTGGTAAACTTCAACGTTTTTGCACTGCTTTTGGGCTTCTGCCCGTTCTACCTCACCTGCTTGTCTCTTGATCTTGCACTTGTTGTACACTGATATCTATATTTATACCTGCATGTTTCCTCTTGCTCGGTTGTGATCAGTGTACTGCCTTGCTATTATAACTTAGCATGTGAACTGTCCTTGTGGCCGCTTGCTTGTGCTCGGATTGTGTGGTGTTCTTGAGATCCACCCTAAGCTTTGCTTTGCTTTATTCTGTTGTCTTGCTTGACTGGTCTTGTGACCGTCTTGTTGTCCCCCACTTAGCCTATGGGGGTGTGTCAAAGTACAATCTTACTTGTAGGCTATAGTGGGGCACTCCTTATGGGGTACAGCACCTCTAGGGTTAGTACTTGAACCCCAACTCTTGCTAACCCGATCATTCCTACACCGTTATTCTGACACAATGACCAGTTGAGTGGGAGTAGAGTAACCCCACATTGTACACAACGCCCCTGTTTAGATGGCTTTTGTAAGGAAAATTCCTTTTCCTTACTACGCGTCCCTGGTTACCACGTACATGACCATTCTCGCAATCGGCACCCAACAGTGAAACGTTACCCGTTCGCGACACTCGCCTCGACCCCGACCCCCGCCACTGTTCACGATGCGACCCAACCTCATGGTTCGGTTGGTAACTCGCGCTCCGGACATCCGCCTTGACATTTCCCAACCTCGGCACTAGGCCCGTAGCGCACCCCATTTCCCACGTTACCGTTACCACTCTGGCTTCGCTATGTATCATTCGCTCATGCCTTCGCTCATTGTATTGTTTTTGCTTCGATAGTGCAATTCTCGCTCGCTCGCTCAATTGCACTCGTACAGCTATACTCCTCCTTGCACCTGTCTTGCATCTGTCAGAAGTCCACTGGTGATCCCCGATTGATCCTAGGGAAGGGTTACAGGCTCGTTTTCCTGGGGGGTTATGGGCACACTGACCCGCTACTTAACAAGCCCTTTTATCCCAATGGTCTAGTGGTTGGGATTCTGACAGCATCTTCACGTTCATGCGGATGCATGCAGGTGCAGGTGTTCTATTCCACGAACTGGCATGCATCCCACATCCCACGATCTTCTTCACCCAACTAGCCATCTTACCGTATTACCCCGGATAGAAGCGCACCTGCGCTTATAATAAAGCAGAGTTTTTTAGGGGGGTGCGCTTCTAATTGAGCCATGTTATAAGCGCATGCGCTTATATAATGACAGATATAGATTTATAAATTTATAGCATCAAATTGTACATCTCAGTCGTACCATTCCAATCGAGGCGAAACTTTATAGCGCCAAAAATCAGAATTGCGCGCTATCGATTTTTTTCCAACACACAGGGGCAAAGACATGTCAGTTTGCCCCTATGCCAGCACATCTTGACCTGACGCGCAGCTTCTGAGGTATTCGCGAGTCAAACGAAGCGATTAAGAAATTAGGCTCGCTTCAATTTGGAAACTCGTTACTGTGTTTAGCAGGTTTTAAATAAAAAATTATGCACGCGCTTATAATAAAGCAGGGTTTTACAGGGGGTGCACTTATAATTGAGGATCGGCCATAAGCGCATTGCTCCAGATATAAGCGCATGCGCTTTGAATAGGCCCCCGCTTATATCCAGGGCGATACGGTATCAGTCTGTCCCCACCCCATGCATTTTAATGTATCACCAGACCCTAGCATTTCTTGGTGCTCACCAAATCACACTGCTAGTCGTGTAAGACCCACATTTTGATGGCATTGCTACCACTCACTTTGTTTCTTTGCAATATATTTTATGTCTGCTAATCTCGCACGAGTACACTGCCACAGTAGCAGAACAGTTGAAAGGCAATAAAAAATGGTGCACTGTTGTGCCGTAGGGAAGAAGTCCTGCAAGTAAAATATCCTAATGAATCTGCATGCAGTTTTTTGGGTTGCGTAGCAACCTTATACATTCGTTTTCACTTTTCGGTTGGCTGATGTGAACAGTGAATTTCTTTTATACATTTTGAAAGAAATCACTGTTCACATAGCTTCCCCAAAAAAATGAAAACAAATGTTTCCAATCATTCCATAATCGTCGATAAGTACGGCGAATGGAACAATTGGAGAATCGTTTTAGCACTAAAGATGATACGGTACCCAATGACACACGAACACAAAGGACAACACAAAAAATACAACAGTTTCATCGAAAGACATACATACACAAATGACCACAAAAACGATGGTGTACAAGAACCGTCTTACATGTTTTGAAGGGAATACTAAATGCATCTATGCAACAACTGAGACTGATATGGTACGGAAGAGGCGAGCAAAGCTGCCCCACCAACGATCACAATCCCAGTTGCATACACGAGACACTTAGCACCACACCCCCAAAACAAGCACAGACGATAACACATAAATGATTACTAAAACACAAGACAACGTTTAAGAAAGTTTCAAAGCGAATGCTAAATGCATCACTGCTCCAACTGAGATTGATATGGTACGGAAGAGGCTAGCAAAGCTGCCCCACCGACGATCACAATCCGAGTTGCATTCAGGAGGCACTTAGCACCACACCCTGAAGCACGCACAACACACATATGCACATGTACGCACTCACACACATACAGGCTCACACATATACAGAGACACACAACGCAAAAACATACAGCTACTGTAATAAGCATGCAAGCATAATAAATTAATTTCAGCCTTGTATAAATTATCACTATCCTGTCCCCCGTTCCCCTCCCTCCCTCCCTTCCTCCCTCCCTCCCTCCCTCCCTCCCTCCCTCCCTCCCTCCCTCATTTCCCTCATCTCCCTTCTCCCCATCCCTTTTCTCCGCAAGAAACAAAGGCTGCAGCTTGAACTCCCTGCACAGGAAAGAAAAATCAGGGAATGCAACTCACTCCCTGCACAAACAAGAACAAAATCAGAGAATACAACTTGCATTAATAGCACAAGAAAACAAAATCAGAGAATTCAGCTTCCTTGATGCACTAAAAAACAAAGTAAGCGCAACAGAAATTCACGCGCAAACTCTCACGTTCTCTCACGCGCTCCCTCATGCGCAAACTCGCGCGCTCTATCGCGCGCACTCTCCCACGCGCTCTTTTGCACACACTCTTGCGCGCTCTCTCTTGCGCACTCTCACGCGCTCTCTCGTGCACTCTCTCGCGCACTCTCTCGCGCACTCTCTCACACACTCTCACGCGCTCCCTCACGCGCTCTCTCACGCGCTCCCTCACGCGCTCTCTCACGCGCTCCCTCACGCGCTCTCTCACGCAATCTCTCATTCGCACTCTCACGCGCACTCTCACTCACGCGCTCCCTCGCACGCTCTCTCAGGCGCGCTCGCTCTCACGGGCTCTAACACGCACTGTCACGCGCTCTCTCACGCGCTCTTTCACGAGGAGAGCAAAAAACAAACAAACAAAAGAAGAAGAAGAAGAAGAAGAAGAAGAAGAAGAAGAAGAAGAAGAAGAAGAAGAAGAAGAAGAAGAAGAAGAAGAAGAAGAAGAAGAAGAAGAAGAAGAAGAAGAAGAAGAAGAAGAAGCAGAAGAAGAAGAAGAAGAAGAAGAAGAAGAAGAAGAAGAAGAAGAAGAAGAAGAAGAAGAAGAAGAAGAAGAAGAAGAAGAAGAAGAAGAAGAAGAAGAAGAAGAAGAAGAAGAAGAAGAAGAAGAAGAAGAAGAAGAAGAAGAAGAAGAAGAAGAAGAAGAAGAAGAAGAAGAAGCAGAAGAAGAAGAAGAAGAAGAAGAAGAAGAAGAAGAAGAAGAAGAAGAAGAAGAAGAAGAAGAAGAAGAAGAAGAAGAAGAAGAAGAAGAAGAAGAAGAAGAAGAAGAAGAAGAAGAAGAAGAAAGTTTTTTCAGAGGGAGGAGGGAGGATGAAAGAACCGGGAACGCACCAGATAACCACGGCAACTCAGAAAACAACCCGGGCTCGCGCACCAATCCGCGCTCGCGCACCAACTCACGCTTGCGCTCGTGCACCTGTCGCCGGAGGCGACGGCGGGGAGGAGGAAGAGGCGACGGCGGGGAGGAGGGAGAGGCGACGGCGGGGAGGAGGGAGCGGCGACGGCGGGGAGGAGGGAGAGGCAACCGCGTGGAGGGAGAGGGGACGGCGGGGAGGAGGGAGAGGCGACGGCGGGGAGGAGGGAGAGGCAACCGCGTGGAGGGAGAGGGGACGGCGGGGAGGAGGGAGAGGCGACGGCGGGGAGGAAGGAGCGGCGACGGCGGGGAGGATGGAGCGGCGACGGCGGGGAGGAGGGAGAGGCGACGGCGGGGAGGAGGGAGAGGCGACGACGGGGAGGAGGGAGAGGCGACGGCAGGGAGGAGGGAGAGGCGACGGCGGGGAGGAGGGAGAGGCGACGACGGGGAGGAGGGAGAGGCGACGGCGGGAAGGAGGGAGAGGCGACGGCGGGGAGGAGGGAGAGGCGACGGCGGGGAGGATGGAGAGGCGACGGCGGGGAGGAGGGAGAGGCGACGGCGGGGAGGAGGGAGAGGCGACGGCGGGGAGGAGGGAGAGGCGACGGCGGGGAGGAGGGAGAGGCGACGGCGGGGAGGAGGGAGAGGCGACGACGGGGAGGAGGGAGATGCGACGACGGGGAGGAGGGAGAGGCGACGACGGGGAGGAGGGAGAGGCGACGACGGGGAGGAGGGAGAGGCGACGACGGGGAGGAGGGAGAGGCGACGACGGGGAAGTAAGGAAGAGGAGATCGCGGTGTGGGACTGAGTGACTGTGAGGTGAATAGGAGAGGTGAAGGCGGGTAGTGAGGGAGAGGATACGACGGGATGGGAGCGAGAGCGACGGCTGGGTGGGAGAACTGGCGAGAAATTGGGGTGGGGGGAAGGAAGAGGAATAAGAGCAGAGCAGGTGTGCTTGTCGAGTCGAGAGGAACCAGAACAAAAGAACCAAGAAAAGAGCGCAGAAATTGAGTTGACAGCTGTGAAAGGGACAGATGCCAGCGCAGAGATAAAATTTATGCCAGCGCAGAATGTGAATTTCTGCCAGCGCAGAACAAGACAATTTCTGCCACCGCAGAACGATACAATTTCTGCCAGCGCAGAACGAAGCACCATATACGGTGTCCTGTTTTAAGTTAAAATGAAGAACTTAATTAATTGCTTCTTTAAGCAAAATATGATTATATTGTACTCTTTCATAATGTTCCTTATACACGGAATACAGCTCTACGCAACCCTTCCGACGTCAACGTCGAGTCTTGTTTATTTCCTTCTTCGGGCGTCGTGTTTAGTTAAGAATTTCGCCCAACCGATACTTCTTAGGGCATTTTGCAGGGCCCAGTTACTTGGACAGCAGGTACACAGACATCCTACAAATTCAAGAAAGCTTTCCAGAAACCCTTTCCCACAGAGTTATCCGAGTATGATTACATCAGGCCTAGTGCTTGGGAGGAAGGACCAGGGCAGCTGACAAACAGCGGAACTGCCAGTTCCGTGGTTCACGTGACAAGATTCACCGAGGGCCGCTCTCAGCCACTTAGACAGCCCCGAAAGGATGGCATCCCGAAGAACATTTGCAAGGGCAACTGAGCAACCAATCGGAGGAGCATGATGGCTTGTGTGGTGTTCAATTCTCTGCGCTTCGAAAGCGCAGAAAACGATTTTCCACCACATTTTTCCATCCGTAGATAAGACGGGCACCGATTGTCCCTCTTCTTGAGAACGAACAGGCGACGTTTTGGCTGGGGTGAAAAATGAATGGAGATTTTGGTGACTTTTTTTTGAAAGCCGAGACATTAACTTAATGGCCTTCTGAACCAGTGTCTTGTGATAAGGTCGGAGCATTTCTGACCGAAAATGTCTAACCAAATCTGCCATACCCAATACAGATTCGGTATCCAAATGACGCTGGCATCTTCACGTGGTCGCAAGGGTTCAGGCCAGGTCACGAGCAGGGCTCTCGGTATCAGGGTAAACATCCTGAAACTCAGGTACATTCCGTATGTTTTGTTGGTGAACCCTGATTCATCAGGATTGGTCTAGAAATCATCCGGAACATTTCCGGATGATTTGGCCGAGCATTCGAGAACTTCCGTAGTGTTTTGAGAACAATCCTGAGATTTTAGCTCGGTACTAGTTTTTGTGTGGGATGTCGAATGCAACGATGCCTATAAGTGCTGTCAGACATGATGTAAGTGTTAGATTTGTTAGTCCTTGCCCATCCAACTTGGATTTTTTAGAGCCTCTTGCGCCTAGGGTAATGAACTGCAGTTGTGCATTTTCGGATTTTGGGAAAAAAACACACGGACGCGGAAGGGAAATGTTAGAGGGAATGCTGATTATTCAGGGTCTTTTCTCAGGCGAGCCCGGAGCCTTCCATGCCTTCAAAAATGAAAGATTTGCCCTGGTCACGAGGATGTGACGAAAGCTTCACACACCGCCATTTGAGGCTGCCAACAGACACGACAGCACAGGCTGGCCTGAAACCTCTTCTGTGCACAGATTCGTGTACAGTTGGTGTAACATCGAATAAGGCAGTGCAATTGGTCTCCCTCACACAGCAGAATGTTGTGTCCATGTTGGCACTCTTGCTACGGCATTCATTTGGAGCTGACCAGGCACTGATGTCATTTCCCACTAGCGCTGGACACTCGAATGAAACCCTAGCTCCATCCAGCGCATCGGAACTTTCTTCCGCACTTTTTTGCCATATCTTCCCGTTCAGCCCGCAATAAAGCAATATTTTGCTGAACGCCGAATGGATGGCTGAACACTATGCCGCGCTGGATTGCACTTTTTTGCCCGCCAAACCCGCGTGCTCATCTGTGGTTGGATATTTTCTCTTCTTCTCCTCCTCCCCCCGATTCCCTCGAGATCGCGTAAACAATTCCCCAGTCCGCCCGCAACGCCTTGTCCAGATTCCCCTTTCTCGTTCCGCTTCTTCTCCGCATTCCCGTGCCTTTATCCGCAACGCCTTGCCCAAACTCACACTTTTCACTTTCTTCCGCGTGCCTGCTTGCTTGCTTGCTTCAGGATAAGGCTGACAGTCTTTCTCTGCCATTCGTTTTTTTGATTCACCAACACAGCAAACAGCTAGGAAGTCCTCAGGTCACTTGCCAAGCAAAACTGGATCTAGATTGATTCCTTCCACGCCTTGTTACTCGCGGAGCTCATGACTGGTTTCGTTGCTAGACTATGCCCGAGATCCATTGGTACGAAAAGTACATAGAATAACTATTGACATAGATTTCCGTCACCTAGAGAGAATTAGAGCCAATGGGTCGTCAGAATAGTAATGGCGGTCGTAGCCGGAAGGATCAACCCGAGGCTGTCGCGCTTTTCCCGCCGATACATGTTAGCCATGCGACAGCGGCGTCGGGCCCTAAGGCACCTCCGCGAAACAAGATGGCACTCTACGAGCAGGTTTCCGTTCCATCGAAGCGATTTCGGCCGTCGCCTCGCCCTCTCGGAGGACCAGCTATGAACGCACCCTCGACGTTTCATCCCATGCACAGCGGGGTACGTGCTCCGTGCGAACGATGATCGCTGCAAGCGACGCTCGGTTTCAGCGACGTACGCCGACCGTGCCAAAAAATATATTTATCTTAGAAAGTCTTCGACTTGTCCAATTAAGGCTCGAGGTGCTCCGTAGTGAGCTATTTCACTCGGAGAAATTATCGTTGTCTGTTTCGAGTGAGTCGCCAGCGAGTCTAGCTTGCTTGTATGTTCTCAGGAGCTTATTTATTTCTCATCCTCTCCGTACTCGTCCCTAATCTCAAAATTTGCTCAATTCTCCTCTCCCTTACTCACTACCTCCTGTCGTGGCCTTCCTATCCACAGTCGACGGTCCCGTTGATGCCTCCCAACTACGAGAGTAAATTCTCCTACGCTCCGTACGCCGCCCAGCAACAAGCGCAGCAACAGCAGCATCCCACCAACAGCTTCAAAACCCCGCCGCAGGCCGGCAGCATGCTTCAATCCCACTCCGGAATCGCCAGCAGCACTGGAAGCTTCTCCGAAGCCGCCGCCTTTCAAAGCGCCAGCCAGGCAGCCTTAGCCGCCTGCGCCGCGCACAGCACCGGCGGCGGCGCTGGAACGGCTGCCGCCCGGCACGGCGGCGGAGGCGGAGGAGCAGGCGGCACGGGGAGCATCATCCAAGGGAGAAGCGCGGGAGCGGGAACGGGAGCGGGAGCGGTGAGCAGCAATAGCAACAGCCACGGACAGTCGACTCGAAGCGACGCGGATCAATGGGCGTTCTGGGCTTGGCAGCAGCGCCACATGCCGTGGGGGAACGGCGCCTCCCCCAGCTCCCCCTCTCCGCCAGTCATGCCGCAAGCCTCCATGTCCCCCGCGAGCGCCGCCGCCGCCGCAGCCGCCGCGATGGCCGCCTTTGCCGGCGCCAGCAACAGCAAGGACGGCAGCACGGCGGCGATGTACCCGCTGCAGGCGCTCACTGCCGCGTCGGGTTTGGGTGGCAGTCGCGGCGACCCGAGTGCGGCGGCGGCTGCTGCGGCGGCCATGGCGGCGGCCGGCGCGGCGTTTTTGAACTATGGAAGCGCGTCGCAAGTCGCGGGCATGGGCGCGGGTACGGGTTCCGGCGCAGGCGCAGGCGCAAGTGGCGCAGTTCCGCCGCTCACCCCCGGAACGTGGAATGGCGCATCGGCGGAAGGAGGCCTGGCGGGGCTGATGTCGAATTTCAGCTGGCCGGGATCGGGTAACCCGAATGCGTTACTTATGATGAGCCAAGCGCACATGTTCGGCGGAATGGGCGGATTCGGGGGAAGCTCAGGCGCGGGGTCTCCGCCCGACCGCGGGTGTATACACGGGGAAGGGGAGGCGTCGGGGCAGCAGCAGCAAGGGCGGAGCCCGTCCGCGGCGGCTGCGCGTTCCGCCGCCAGCGAGAGGCTCGGGCACAGGCGCGGGGAGGAGCGGAGCAGCCGCGGAGGACCCGCGCGGAGCGGAGTGGACGACGCGCGGAAAGGGACCTTGCGGAAAAGCGCAAGCACGAAGTCTGCAGGGTCCCGGGGTCCAGCGGCCACTGCACCTGCTGGTGTTATCGGCGGAGGCGGAGGCGGGGGGGGAGCGGTTGGCGCGATGTCGACGACGAGTGGGCGGAGCATGAAGAGCACGATGAAAAGCGGGGCGCGGGCTGCGGCGAAGGGCGGAAAGGGGAAGAAGCGCAAGGAGATGGCTGCTGGTGACGGTGCGGAAGCTCTGGCACAAGCGCAGCAGGAGCAAGCGCAAGAGCGCGCGGAAAGATCAGCGGGAGCAGCCGCGGAAGCAGCGGGAGGAGCGGGAGTGGGAGCGGGAGCAGCAGAGGAGGAGCTGTTTCGGGGAATTGAGGTTCTTCGCGCTGCCGCCGTAGCTGCGCGGGAGGAGGAGAGACGCGCGCGCGCTGCAACCGAGCATCCGGGGACTGGTCTTGGCTGCGCTGCGGATGCGGCGGCGGAGGCTGCAGCGCAGGCGGAAGGGGATGATGACGATGCGCGGATGGTACCTGCGCAGGTGGACGCGGATGAGCGAACGGGGGCGGAGGAAGGAACGGGATTGGCGGAAACGGAGCACAAAGGGGAAAGCTTCGGGGAGCAGCGCGAGGCGCGGGCTCTAGGACGCTTCCGCGCGGCTGCCGCCGCCGCTGCCGCCGCCGCCGCCGCAGGCGTTGCTGCTGGGTGTGCAAGCAGTTACCATGGCGGAGCGATGGCGAGCGAAGGAGCCGCGCTCCTCCCTGCCGCCGCTACCGTCCCTACTCTTCCTTCCCCTGCGGCATCCGCCCGTACCCCTGCCTCTGCTGCTGCTGCCACTGCTGGTGCCCCTTCTCCTGCTGCTGCCGCTGTTGCTTCAGCAGGCGCGGAGGCGGCGGGAGGCATGCTGGCGATGGTGCTGGGGATGGCGGGAGGCGTGGAGGACGAGGAGGAGGAGCGGTTCCGGCAGGAGAGCAGGAAGCGGAGCAGGCGCGCGGAGGAGGGGCGGGGGCGGGGCGCAGGGGAGGCGGACGGGGAGGTCGCAGGGGAGAGCAAGAGGGGGAGGTGGGAGGGAGGGGAGGGAGGGGAGGGAGGGGAGGGAAGAGGGGATATGTGTGTGGGTGACTTGATTGGTGCGGTGGGGCAGAAGGAGTTTTGGCGTGTGCGGAAGGGCATTGTGAGGCAGCAGCACATATTCTCCACTCAACTGTTCGAGCTGCATCGACTGAATAGGGTGAGCCATAATCTCGTGCTGCTTCTTGCCCGTTGTAGTTCCCCTGTATCTGTTTTTTACTTTCTTTTTTCCGCCTCTGCTTTTGTGCTTATGCGACGCCCCCTTTTCCTTTTTACCCCCCTCTGAACGTTTTCAGGTGCAGCAGGGGCTGATGCACGAGCCGCTGAACACTGAAAAGGACCAAGTGCTGGAAGGTCGGGAGCAGGAGCAGGAGCAGGAGCAGCAACCGCAGGAGCAGGAGCAGCAGCAACAGGCGTCGCTACTTGCTGCACCTGGTGCCGACACTGCTGATGTCCCTGGCAATTCCGCTGCTCCTACCGCTGCTGCTGCTGCAGCTGGTGGTGCTGTCGATGCTGCTGCTGCTGCTGCAGCAGCTGTGAGCGTTGAGGAGCCTGTCGGCCAAGTAACATGCCCCAGCCGGCGTGCTGGCAGCAGCAGCAGGGCGCAAGAAACCGCCGCTGCTACGGAAACTGGTGTTCCTGATATGCTTGAAAAGTCTGCTTCAACTGACGCAAATGGAGCAGCGATAACACTATTGTCAGCAGCAGCAGCAGGCGCAGCAGCCGCCGCCGCAGCTGCAGGTGCAGCAGGTGGTATCCCCAGCACGAGTGGCATGAAGCCGCCTCCTGCCCGATCTCCCCACAGCCGTCCACGGGTATTCCCTGCTCCCCGCCTCGCCACAATTCCCGCCTTCCCTGTTTTCACCGACGCACCGCCCGCTGCTGAAGGCTCCTCCGGAGCAGCTATGTCAGCAGCAGCCATGCCAGAAGCACCATTCCCTGCCGCATTGGATTTGTCAGGTAAAGCAGGGGCGAGTGGAGCAGCAGTGGCAGCGGCAGCTGCTGCAGCAGCGTCGGCAAGCAAGGGTGGTGCTGCTGGCTGGTCGTTTCCTCTCTATGCTCGCTTTGCCAAGAATGCTGACCCGGCTGCTGCTGCTGCTGCGGCTGCAGCTGCCATTGCTGCCGACGCTGCTGGTGCCAAACCTGCTGCCGCGCCTGCTGCAGCTTCGGACAATGCCACTGCTGCCCGAGCAACGGCCATCACCCCAGCCTCGTTCGGGTTCCTGACGGGCTCGGAATCTGCCGGACCTGAAGGCTCGGACGTGTTTGGATTGAGCTGGGGTACAGTGCCTGAGTCAGAAGCTGGGGATGGGGAAGGGAGTAGAGGAGAAGGGAATCCATCAAAGTATGCTGCTATGCTTAGTGCCATGGGCCTGCCTGCTGATTTTACCATGCCTGCCAATCTTGGCATCCCTGCCAATTTTGGCATGCCTGCTAATTCTGGTATGTCTGGACAAGCAGGCATGGCCGAGGCTATGGGCATGAGCTTTGGCATGGGAATGAACATGAACATGGGGATGGGTATGGGCATGGATATAAGAGCTGCTGCTGCTGGAGCAGGAGGGGCCTCCGCTGCTGCTGCTGCTGCGACTACTGCTGCTGGTGCTGGGGGTGCAGGTGTGGGTGCATCTGGGGCAGGCCCATCTATGATGATGGATATGACAGCGCTGCACATGTACATTGCACAGCAGCACCGCATGCAGCAGCAGCTGCGCCAGCAGCTGTTTCAGCAGCAGCAGCAACAGCAGCTCCTGCTTCAGAGCTTAGGGGGACTTTTCCCTACCTTCCCTCCATCTGCTGCTGCCATCGCAGCCGCTTCTCCTGCCGCCGCTGCGCTCGCTGCCTCGCCTGCTGCTGCTCCTGCTGCTGCAGCAGATGCTTCTGTAGAGGAGCCTGGTTCTCAGCCGAGGGAGGAGGCGTTTCCAAGAGGAGCTGCTGCTGCAAGTGCAGCAGCGTTTGCAGCATGGCGCTCTGCTGTGGCAGCATCTGCGAGAGGAATGGCTGAGGACAAGGCACAGGGCAACTCGCGGGACAAGATGCAGCAAAGAGATGAAAACGATGATGTATCAAGGCATAAAGATTTGGAGCTGAGCCTTTTCCCTTCTTTTGCGAACACACGGAACTAGTTCATCATGTTTATGGCATATCTTACCACTATACTGCATATTTGGAATTTTTTGTGTTAATAATGTCTGTAAGACTATTCCGTGTAACAATGATGCTGCTTTAAAAGGAATTGATGTTCACGCATTTTCCCCGCAACATGAGTGGTTCACATTTTCCCGAGTCACGTGCCGCTGCAAAGTCAGGCAGGGAACTGCACAGTTTTCGGCAGCACACGCGCGAGAATGCCATTCGTGCACTGTAGAAGTACTTTCACATTGTATTTAGAGGGTAAAATGCATTTTTTTGGGGGTAGGTTGGAGGCTGACACCTTCATCATCCGCCTTCTCAAGTTCGGGAGTGAGGATGCAGAGCTGTGCTTTCGACCAGATAGGGCGTCGATAATTCTCAGCTGGAGTGGTTTCGAGTGCAAAATATCGACACAGCAGTTCGGCATTTCTCAGGTACACCGCTGGTCTATTTCGGGGTAAGCGTAGTTCTATGCAGAGCACAATAATGCCCGAAAGAATCTGAACCCACGTCGGTAGTAGCAGGACAATCATTTTCGGGTTTGCTTTCTCGAGCTGTCACTTGATGATTAAACTGTTCGCCCCTTATTCAAGAAAATATCCTGCTTAGCACCACGCGCAATGACGTGGCGGATGTATTGCTTCACTGAATAAGATCCGCACTCCGCCATTCCTATGCATCTCGCGCACACTGTTTTGTCACCATCACCGTCGATGCCAGCGCCGCGGACACGCAGACAATTGAGATGAGCTGAACCGTTGAGGCCTCTCCCATGGCCTCGGAACGCTGCGAAGTGCATTGTCAGATGAACGGCCTATGGTGCAGTTCTGGGTGAGCGAGAAGCCATTGCCCTACCATTCCCAGTTACGGCCCCCACATCACACGAGTCGCAATGGGCCATCCAATCAGAGCTGGGGTCATTGCAGCCCTTGAGACCTTAGCGGATTTGACGGTCCTAGTCGAGCCACTTCTTCCGGATCCTTGAGCACGTTCATTCTAAGCAATAAGAAATCGCCATGTGGGCATCTTTGCAGGCCATTGAACGGTAAGGTAGAAGGAATTGTCGTCGTCAGCGCTGTCCTTGATTCTGCTCCTCGTTCTGTGCTGCCATCCAGTGCTGTTTTGGTGACGAGCTGGTGTGGACGAACCCAAAGGACGCAGTTGGTTGGCTGACGAGGCTTGTGGCGAAAGGTCTCCCAGTTTGGTGACTTTCTATCCAGTGAAGATCCCGAGCCTAGGAAACAAATCACAAACTGGGGAAAGTTTTGAGACCCAGGGATCCTGCCCGAAACCCAAACGCTTTTGTGTTATCTCTTTGCCGAATGCATGTGAAAGGTAGTCCACTTCCGACGGTCGGATGTCCACAAATGCCCACGTCATTTTTTAAGCGTTTCACGACCACCTTTCTATAGATTTCAGCAAAGCTCGACTACTTAGTTACACACAAAGGATGTACAGATCAAACAGAAACACCCTGGACTTGAAGGATAGAATCCGCTGCTTGTGGACCTCTCGTCGTCTCTCACGGGCACCTCCTGTATCCGTCATCCCCAACTCCTAGGAGATAACGCCATGGATTTTCTGTCACTCCATCAGTCACAGATATTCATACAGTATCACGCACCAACAGAGCTAATGGTTAGGTTGGTAGTCTGGCCTGGTTGTCCTTCCTCTTGTTCAATCTGCTTCTAACTAGTTGCACTGATAGAAGTACGCACCCTCCCCTTTTCTCAGCTCAGTTAGCACGTGTGAAACGGATCGCGAGTTTTCGACAGCTGGTAAAGCTCCACGCTCTTCGCTTATCTTAGTGATCGGCGAATTCAGTGGCCTTCAGCCGCTCTTGATCACCATTGTACAGTCGCTCAGAATTTCCATCTTACACTTACTGAGGCTCGGCGTATAACAGCCGGCCAGTCACGCTCGCCGCCTAACAGCCGCCAGTTTCGGTCACCGTTTGCGACCATGGCGACGAGAGTGTCGCTCCTGCCGGTCACATCCCGCGCGTTATCTCTCGACCCGCCGAATTCGTCCAAGCGCGAGGTTAAATTCGGCGGCGGATTTCCCCATCCCCATGAGAACGCCGCAGGAATAGACGGGCACCGGCAAGGCCTGGGAACAACTTATACCGAAACCCGAGGCGTTAATAATGAGAGCGGGAAAGGAGAAGCGGGGGGGACCGCTAGTGGAAGCGGTGCTTGCAGCAGCTTAACCGGGGTTGGCGGAGGACTCCTTAACGGGGTCGGAAGCGCCACGGGGAGTGCTCCCGGTGACGGAGGTCGATCGGACGCGTGGTCGACTCTCCTAAGCCTGCCACGTCAGCCGCAGCAGAGCAGTCTCGGCCTTAATTTCTCCCACGGGCTCTCGTTCTCCCCTGCACCGTCTCCCACGGCCATGGGTTTCGCGCACGGTCTCTCCTTCACTCCCGCCGCCCCGCCCACGCCCGTGCCGCGATCGTCGTCCCACGGGCTTTCGTTCTCCCCTGCACCGTCTCCCACGGCCATGGGCCTTTCCTTCACTCCCGCAGCTCATCCCACGCCCGTACCGCGATCGTCGTCCCACCACCATCTCAGTCAAAGCCACAGCAAGAATCACAGTCAGAATCACAGTCACAATTACAGTTACAATCACAGTAACGGTCAAAGCCCCAGTCACAGCACCAGTAGCACCCCGCCAGGAAGTGCTGGTGGCGGTAGCGGTGGTGGCGGCGGCGGCGGCGGTGGCGGCGGCCGCGGCGGTAACTGGCCGATGTTCCGCGGGTTGGCGGCGCGGCACGCGTCCGCCGACTCGCTCCTGTCGCTCGCGTCGTCCGAAACCAGCAGCCTCGCGTCCTTCGCGACCGCGTCGGACCGCCTGGTAGAGCAGGAGATTAATCGGCGCGCCGCGTTAGACTTCGTCACGGAGCTAGCCGGCCCGCTGCAGCCCCCCAGCTCCCCCGCGCATTCCCTTTCGGGGGAGCGCACCCCACCCGCTGGCGCAACCCTCGGCGCAACCTTCGGCGCAAATCCCGGCGGAGCCTTGGCCTCTGGCGCAGCGCTCCTGAGCGCAAGTCTTAGCGGGGACCTTCCGATTACCGCCAATGAGCTCCCCGTGGCGGTGTTTGCGGTCGACCGCGACCTGGTGTGCGCGCTCTGGAACAGGCGCATGGCGGAACTGACCGGATGGGCGGAAGGGGAAATCATGCGACTGGGACGATTCGCGGAGGGGAGGTTTGCGGAACGGCTCTTCCGCCCCGCCAGCGCCTCCGCGCCATTCCGCCGATGCGAGGACGTTCTCCGCGCCGCGCTCTTCGGCCGCGATATAGTCACGGCGGAGTTGCTTCTACTGAAGCGCGGCGGTAGCTGCGCGCGCGTGCGATTATTCGCCAGCGCGCGCACCGACGCGCTCGGTGCAGTTTGCGGCGCAATCTGTGCCGTCATTCCCGCGTCTTCTGGAGGCGGGGGAGGATCGGCGGCCGCGCTGAGCGCAGCTTCCGCGCATGGCTTCGACATGGACGGCGGCGGCGGCGGCGGGAGCGGAGGCCGCTTGCCGCCATTTGCGCCGTCGTTTGCGGCGGGCGAGACCGAGGAATGGCTGCAGCGGAACGCGTCGGCGGGGAGTCTGTACGGCATGCACTCCGTGGACGAGGAATCCGTGGGCGGTGAGTGGTGCCTCGTGTTGGTGAGCGGCGGAGAGTGATGGTGAGGGGCGGTGAGTGCCTGAGTTCATGGGTGGTGAGTCAAGGACCGTTTAATCTACTAGACTGCTGACGTAAGTACAGTAGTAAGCTACTTGTAGTCTGTCAGTTTCCCCCAACTCTCTCTCTTCTCTAGCCACATAACCATCTGCAGCACCAACCTCACCCTTCTTAACCCCTCTCCACCCCTCTCCACCCCTCTCTCTCACAACCAGACGACAGCGACGCGGCCAGCAGCTGCAGCGACCTTTACCAGCTCGGCTCCGTCCCGTTCGGCAGCAGCGCCAGTTGCGGCGGCAATTCCGGCGGCTCCAGGCGCCACGTCATGGAGCCCGTCTCCTCCAGCAGGCGCGCGAGCGGCAGCGGCGGCGGCGGCGGGGGGGTGCGCGGAGGTCACGCAAGCGCGTTGAATGCGGGCGCGGGCCAAGACTCGGGCGCGGGGGCGGGAGTGGGGGTAACTGGGCGGATTTCGTCGTCGTCGTCTTCTGAGCGACATCTGTCGGGGAGGCTTTCATTGGGGGAGAGCGAAGCTGCGACCGAATCAGGGGCGGCAGGGGGAGCGGGAGGAGCGGGAGGAGCAGGAGGGGCGGGAGGGGCGGGTGAAGCGGGAGAAGAAACTTTGCCTTTGACTCTACCAGCTACGCCGCCATCTGCGCCGCCAGTTGCGGCGCTAGTTGCGGCGGCGTTGCCTTCCCCTGTCAACGCGCCCACCCTCGTTGGTTTGGGCGCGGAAGGCGTGGGCGGGGGCGCGGGGGGAGGCGCGGGGGTTCACTTAAAGCCCTTACAAACGAAGCTAGCTATCCGACGCTCGTGCGAGCTGCCGAAATATGGTGCGTTGCCGTTCCAGTGTCCTCATATCGAAGCTTCTGTGCCATACGCTTTTGCAGCCCTTTCAAATTGCTGCCAGGCCTCTTAACCTTTCTGCCTTACCCTCTCTTCCCCTCCCCCCCCCCCGTTCGCCTCCAATTCCCCCTCTTTCCCTTGTTGTTGGGTCGATTTTCTTGCAGCTTATTCCTCTCTCACGGGCATGCGCCGCAATATCAGCAGTGATGCCCTCAATAACGCGGACACGTCTCCATCCCACCACCACTCCCACCGCTCAGCATTCTCCTTCCAACCCGCCTCTAACACTTCCAACCACCCCACTTCCACTCTTTCCTTCTCCTCCTCCCTCTCCCGTCCGCTCTCCTCTCGGCCGTACCCCACCTCCTCCCTCTCCTCCCCCTTCTCCCACTCCTCCTCGCACTCCTCCTCCCCAAGCGTCGCCTCCCCATCCTCGTTAGTGCATGCTCTGATAGCGGACGGAGTTACCACAGGGCGCAACGACCTGGCGCACCAGCTGGAACGGTGTGGGTTTGACGTTGTGAGTGCCACGTCAGTGCAGGAAGCTGCGTGGAAATACGAGCAGACTGCCCTTCATGGCTCTCTCCCTTCCCCCTTTCCTTCTGCTGCTCCTCCTCCTGCTCCCTCTGGCGCCACCTCAGCTGCTGGCGCTGCTGCAGCTACCAATTCCGCTGCCGCCGCCGCCAGCGCTGGTGCCCCTCATGCCGCCGCTGCTGCTGGTGGGAGTGGGGGAGTGCTTTTCTCCCTGGTGATCCTAGACCTAGAGCAGGCTACGAGCAGGGCAGGGCAGTCGGCCATTCGGGATATCCGGCGTGCCGAGCGGGCGCTGCTGTCTCGCCGCCTCACTCTCGGCACCGCCACACCTGTTGGCACTTCCGGCACTGCTGGTGCTGCTGGTGCTGCTGGTGCTGCTGCTGGTGCTGGGTTTGCTGGTACTGGGGCTTCTGCTGGTGGCGGAATTGCCGCTGCTGATGGGGACATGAGGTCGTTGGGAGGTCTCAAGGTGCTGAGTGAAGAGGGCGAAGAGGACGAGGGGAGGAGTGAGGAGGGGAGGAGTGAGGTGAGCGAGAGTGCGAAGCAGCAATTGGAGGGGGAGCAGGAGACGGTGCAACCACAAGAGCAAGCAACAGTGGAACCCTCTTCCCCCTCCACTGCATCCTCCTCCCCTGCTGCTGCTGCTGCTGCTGCTTCTGCTCCTGCTGCTGCAGCAGCTGCTGCGTCATCGCCCGACCGCACGCTCATAGTGGTGGTTGCAGATCTGAGCCGGTACGACCAGGTGGGGCTGGATGCGGCAATGGAGCAGTGTGTGCTGGCGGGGGTAGATGCCTTTATTCCCCGCTCCATGCACCTGCAGCAGCTGCGGACGGCGCTTAGGAGGCTCGGGCTGCACAGCAAATATCTCGTGCTGCCCGCCTCGCTGCCCCGCGCGCATTCTGCTGTGAATGTTTCTGGTGTTGCGGTTGGTGCTGGTGGTGGTGTTGGTGTTGGTGCTGGTGGTGGTGTTGGTGTTGGTGCATGTGCTGGTATGGGTGTCAGTATGGGTGTGGGTGTGGGTGGTGGGATGACTGGGTTGCATTATGGTGTTGCATCGTCGCACCATGTGTATGGTCACCAGGGAGTACATTTGTTACGATGATTCGCTGGCGCATTACTTCTAAATGATTAGGTTGGTGATTTGCAGAGTTACCTACTGACTTCGATTTTGCCTTTGTAGTGCTGATTATGATTATTTAACATAACTCGGATCATGTTCTCTTATTAACACCCGAATCCACACGAGATGACTCGTTCGCTTACAAACGAAGCCGTTCTTTAGTGAGATATCGACATTCTGGAGGATTATCCTGAATGACACAGCTCGCGTGTGCTGCTTGAAAATTCGTCTTGCACTTCTAGTTTCCATTCCACTCCATAATTGAAGTCATTCGGTAACTCCTAGCTTGATCAGTCATTGGATTCAGCGCTGGGTGTTCCGCCGTTGAGCTCCTCTCCGCCGCGCAATCACAGCTACCGTATGTGATCTGCGGCGCTACGATGCGCATGGAGTGAGCAACAGCACAATTCGCATCGCTTCGGTTGCGAACAATTGCGCACTGAGGAAGTAGGTGTGACTGAAGCGAGAGAGAGCCTGGCAATCGAATCTAGCTCGCAGGCTCGTCTGACGTGTTGATCCGTTCTTAACTCGAATAATAGGACTGGCTCATCCTGACGCGCATGGATGCAAGATAGTCAACGATAGTCAAAATTGTTGACAAAATAGTTAACGAAAGTCAACGCGGTGGTCCATGGTGTGGGGTGGCGACGATGAGGACCTCTCTCTCTTCGATAATCAACGATAATCAACGAAAGTTGACGACATAGTTTACGAAAATCTACGAAATAGTCAACGAGGTGCGTAGCCAATGGAGTGGGGTGGCGACGATGAGGACCTCTCTCTTTTCGACGCGGACGACGACGATTTCCGCGAAGCTGCCGAAGTGCGGCCGACCCTCCTTTCCTCGATCGCCCGCCCGGCTGCCCCTTCCGCGCAGTCCGCCGCCGCAACTCCCGCCGCACCCCCAGCCGTGACTCATGCCGGGATTCTCGCCGCAACGCCCGTTCTCGCGATTTCCGAACCAGCCAAGCCATCGCAAACGGATTCTATTCTCGGGGCTGCTCCGAAGCTGATTGACAGTCAGGATCGGGTTGGAGAGGCTCGGAATGGAGAGGATCGGATTGGGAAGGGTGAGATTGGCGGAGCAGGCGGAACAGGCGGAGGAGAAGCGGAGGTAGGTAGGGGAAGAGAGAGAGAAAGCGGTGCAGTGGGGGAGAGTGGGATTGGAAAGGATGCAGAGGATGAATTGGATGGAGACGGCGGTGGGAGGGAAGAGACCGGGTTGGATGGAGAAGAGGAGGAGACGAGTGGGTTGTCACACTTGGGATCTGCTAATGACGGAGCAGATCCTAACGGGGCTGCTGCTACTAACGAGGGGTCTGCTAACGAGGATGAATCGGAACAGGAAACAGGCGAACGGGAAGGAGAAGAGGAGAGTGAAACGAATGGCATAGGCGTAGGGGGAGCAGCAGGAGCGGGAGGAGGAGCTGGGGAACACGGTCAAGGGGATCAGCGGACAAAGGGCGAGAAAAAGAAGAAGAAGAAGGGGAAGGGGAAGGGGAGAGGGCAGAACGCTGGTGCATTACAACCAGCAGCGGCAGCAGGAGCAGCAGCAGCGCAGAATACAGACGCAAGAGTAGATTTGGCGGGACCAAATGATGCCACAGGGAAGAATTCCCACACAGAGGGTATTTCCAGCGCAGAGGGGATCGCCTCTACAGTGGGGATTCCCCTTAAAGGGGCGATTTCCGCAGCAACCCCAGACACAGGTTCCCTAAAGGGAGCACTGCAACAGGTAGAGGAGTTAAAGGCTGCTTTGGCCCGGGAAAAGGATGGTAGAGTGGCCGCAGAGGAGCAGGCGAAACGGGCAGAAAGAAAAGCTTCTTGCGCGGCCGAGGAAGCTGCCCGGGCGGCGGACGGGCAGCGGCGAGCAGAGGCTGAACGGGCAGAGATGGAAAGAACGAAAGCTGAGATGCTGAAGAAGCTGCGGCATATAGTAGAGGAGGCTGTGAAGAGAAAGAAGGAGGCGGAAGAGGAGAAAACCGTTGCCGAAGCTGCCTCCGCAGCTGCGGTGAAGGATCGGAACGAGGCTCGGAAGGAGCGGGACGAGGCTCGGGGAGAGAGGGACAGGGCCGTGCAGGAGAAAGAGCGAGCAGTTCGGGAGAGAGAGGTGGCTGTCAGTAAACTGGAGCGGCTTATAAAGGAGCGAGATGGAGCGGTTAGGGAGCGGGAGAGTGCGGTGAAAGAGATTACGAAACGGTTGAGTGGTGAGAGGGACGCAGCGGTGAAGGAGAGAGAGGTGGCAGTGTTACAGAGGGGGGCGGCTGTGAGGCATGTGGAGGCGGTGGAAGGGAGTGTGCGGCGTGCTGTGGGGAGATTGGGAAGGGAAGCGGAGCGGGTTGAGAAGATGTTTGAAGGGATGTTTGGTGTGAAGATTGGTGATGGGAGGAAAAGCGAAGGGGAAGTAGAGGGAAGCAGCAGTACTGGTGGTGATGGTGGTGGTGCAATGAGTGTCACTGGCACCAGTCGTGGTAAGGGTGGAAGTGCCACTAACGAGGCTATCCCTGCTAAACCAGCAGCAGCGGGAGCATCAGCAGGAGGAGGAGCAGCAGCAGCGGCAGTAGCAGCAGAAGAAGACGTGGTTGCAAGGTTTGAAGCAGGAGTGCAGAGGGTTTCAGCTGTTATCGAGCTGGCAGCTAAGTCCGTGCGACGGCAGAGAGAGGAGATGGAGGAGCGAGCAGTGGCAATGGCTGTGGAGGTTTCACAATTAGAATCTGATGTTGCTGATGCGAAGAGAGAGGTTGAGAGAGTGAGAAAGGAAAGGGAGGAGGAGGTGGAGCGAGTGAGAAAGGAAGGGGAGAGGAGGGTTGAGGAGGGGAGGGTGGAGGGGGAGAGATGGAGGGCGGCTGCTGAGGAGAGAGGAGAGTGAGGGAGGTTGAGGAGGAGAGGAGGAGGGAGAGGGGGAGGGTGGAGGAGTTGGAAAGGGTGCGAGGGGAGTTAGAGCGGTTGAGAGAGAAGGTTGGTAGGAGCGGAAAGACTAACGGTTCAGTTGGAGAGGGGGTAGAAGGTGGGGAACGAAATGAAGGGAAGGGAGGGATGGAGGAGGAGGGGAGGGAAGGAAGCGTGGAGGAGATTAAATGGGTGGAGAGGAGGTTGGAGGAGGCTGAAAAGGCTGTGAGCGATTGGAGGAGCAAGGAGAGAGAAGCACAGAGTCATGCTGTTGGTGCTGAAGCGAAGCTGGCAGCCAAGGTGAGTGGTTCAGGATTTTTGTTCAGGGTTGGGGGGTTTCAGGTTTCGGGTTTAAGCAAGAGTTTCACATTCCCCTTGGCAAGAGTTTCACATTCCCCTTGGCAAGAGTTTCAGCACCACTTTGTATGCTCTTGTTCTCCATGAATGTCGTCCCGTTTGCATGTGTGGTGGTGCAGGAGAGGGAGCTGGAGCTGTTGCAGCAGCATTTGGAAGAGGAGAGGAGGGAGAGGAAGAAGGAGACGGAAAAGAGCAGGTGAGGGAGGGAAGGAGTGGGTTAGGGTCTCAAGAGATGCAGGGAGGTGAAGGGGAGTGGGAGGGGATGAGTAAGGGCCGGTGAGGACACCCAAAAGGAGTGGGTCGAGGTCTAGAGGAGATGGAAGGCATGAATTTAGAGATGGTTCGAACGCTTGATGGTGTTTGGAACTCGCCCCGAACCCCGCACCCAACCCCCATGCGTCCCTGTTCTATCCTCGCGCCCTTGTTCCTTCCCTCCCAGGAGTGAGGTGCAGCAGGTGGAAGGGGCATTGCGCAAGGAGAGGGATGCCGGGAGACAACTGAAAGAGGCGTTGGAGGGGTTGCAGAGGGAGGGGGCGCGGGCGGCAGAGCAGGTGAGTGTGTGTGGGGGAGAGGGGGGGAGTGGAGTGGTTTCTTTGAAAGCAAAACATTTTGAGTTAGATTCAAAACACACGAATTAGGGAGGAGATTGAAAGAGGCATTGGAGGGGTTGCAGAGGGAGGGGGTGCGGGTGGCAGAGCAGGTGATCGTGGGGAGGAGGTGGTGGGGGGAAGGGATAGGGGGAAAGAGGGTTATACGAAGGAAGGAGAGTGATTGTGGCAGGCGACTGAGACAGGCGTTGGAGGGGTTGCAGAGGGAGGGGATGCGTGTGCCAGAGCAGGTGATTGTGTGTGGGGGAGGAGAGGGGGAAGCGATAGGAGAGGGAGTGGGGAGGCAGAGGGGAGCTTTAAGGAACTTCTGAGACGGACAATGAGAACAATTGACGGCGTTTCTTCTCGCAAACCCCCGCACCCTCTCTTTGGTCGCGGCACTCCAGGCGAGTGTGGGTAAGTGTGAAGCGGCAGCAGGCAGATGGTGAGAGGCGAGAGGCAGGCAAGGCGGAGGGAGGATCCGAGCACATACTCTCCCGCATTCCCCCCCCCCCCCTCCTCCCCCCTTTCACACAGCCGCTTTCAGCTCGCGGCACTCCAGGCCAGTCTGTCTGAGTGTGAGGCGGAGGCAGGCATCAGCCACAAGCTCTCTCCCTCCCTTTCCTCCGCACTTTCTCCCGCTCCACCCCCTTGCTCATGCTCAGATCGCGGCACTACAGGCCAGCTTATCAGAGTGTGAGGCGGAGGCGGGCCGATGGCGAGAGGCTGCCAAGGAGGAGGCAGCAGCGGGCAGTGCAGTGGCTGAAGAGATGGAGGAGATGCGCGGGCAGGTGAGGGAAGGGCGTGGGGTTTCAATCTTTTGGGAAGAAGGGCGGGTGGTGGGAGGTTGAGGAGGCGGGGGGAGGACAGCAGCAGGTTGTCCAGTGGCTGAAGAGATGGAGGAGATGCGCGCGCAGGTGGGTTGGGGGGTTGAGTGATTGCAGTAGGGGGTTGGACACTCTTTCCACCCACGCACACACACACACACACACACACACTCACACACACACACACACTCACACACACACACACGCACACACACTCACACATACACATGCTCACACACACGCACACACACTCACACACACACACTCACACACGCGCACGCACACACACACACACACACACACACACACAAACACACACACACGCGCACACACTCACTCATTCATGTACAACCGCATTCAACTCCTCCCAAATCCCCTCCTCCAGCTTCTTACATTGGAGCGTGAGGCAGAGAAGTGGCAGAGGGCAGCAGAGGAAGCACAAGCTAATCCACTCAACCGCATTCAACTCCTCCCAAATCCCCCCTCCAGCTTCTCACGATGGAGGGTGAAGCAGAGAAGTGGCAAAGGGCAGCCAAAGAGGTACAAGCCATTCACACTCAACCGCACTCAACTCCTCCCAAATCCCTTCCTCCAGCTTGTTACCCTCGAGGGCGGGGCTGAGAAATGGCAGAGGGCAGCAGAGGAGGCACAAGCCATTTGCACTCAACCGCATTCAACTCCTCCCAAATCCCCCTCTCCAGCTTCTTACACTGGAGGGTGAAGCAGAGAAGTGGCAGAGAGCAGCAGAGGAGGCACAAGCCATGCTGACGTCACGCGATGAGCTGGCAGCAGCAGCAGTCGCCGCCCGGGAAGCGGCAGAGAGGTCGCTCCGGGCGGCGGACAGGCGGGTGGCAGAGCTGCGTGAACGAGTGGAGGAATTGCAGCAGCAGCTAGAAGACGAAACGACCCACCGTAGCGGAGCGAGCGGGGCTGAAAACACAGGTCGGGGATGGGGGTTGAGTGGAGTGTGGGGGCCAGGAGAGGGAAGGGGAGGGAGTGTGGTGGGGACTGGGCAAGGGGGAGGGGTAGCTAGCCGGCTGTGCTGCTGTTGGCCTTGGTTGTCAGTGGGAAGAGGGAGAGGAAGAGTGAGTGGGGAGTCGGGAGGAAGAGAAGTGGATGATGATGAAGGTAACGCTTTGGAACAGCTGATGGTGCCACTTGTTTGAATTAGTTTGAAAGGTGCTGCTTAGTACAAGAAATGTACATTATTCTATTGTTTGAATGTGCATGGTAACCATAAAGCGAAGGACATTTAGGCTATCTAGTACTGGTAGCTACCCAGAAGCACTCAAATCTCTCATCTGCTTTCACTACCAGTATGGTATTAATCTCATCGGCAAGACATTAGCGTACATTATGTACAAAAGTTACATGTGATTAGAAGCCAAGACGTGCCCAGCTGAGCAGAGAACCAATGAACAGACCCACCACCAGAAAAACAACCATCACCATACCAGCCGACTCAGCTCGGTCCCGAGGCACCTGGTTCGGAGCAGCCATCATAAGCAGGCTCGTCAACAACCCATTAGAAAACCCAAACGCCCCCGTGACAGCAGCAATGATGACCTCATGCCAAGCCCATAGGGGGCCCCACCACACACAGAGTGGGTAAAGAATGTAAAACCCCCCTCTCGCCAGTACTAGTGCCACTAACACCTTCAAATCAGTCACCAGGAACACTACCGGTGCCATTTTTCCGAAGAAATCAAACACGTTGTACATGCCTATAAGGAGGATGGGGTACCACGAGCCGAGCGCGTCAGACTGGAGCTCCGCTATAAACCCCGGAAAGATAGAAAGCGTGACTAGATACACTACCGAGAGCAACACTGCGTACGGCCAAATCTGCTGCATGACCTCCCACTGCTGGCGGTATATCGAGGGAGCGGAGTCGACTATGGAGGGTACGTGTACGTGGAGAGAAAAGGCCCTGCCTTCAGCCAACATGGCTTCTTCAGAGCGAAAGGTGTGCTCCCACCAGGACACCACCCGATCCCACACCCGCCTCCTTGCCTTGCCCGGACCATGAGAGTACCTGCCCTTGCTGATCGCCTGACCGTGACTATGTGCATGTGAAAGCGCATACTCTACCTTATCGCCTTTACACACTCCGTTTTCTGAACCTTTTTCACCTTCCCATTCCCAGTCTATCTCGGCTATCTCGCTGCAGCTGGCGCTACACCCGTCCATCAGCGGAGCACCATCAGCCACCGACTCTGCTTCTGCTCCTGCTTCTCTTACTGTCACTGCTGCTCCTGCTCCTGCTGCTCCTGCTCCTGCTCCTTCTTCTTCTCCTTCTCCTTCTATGCCTGTAAGGTCCCGCGCTCGCTCCTGCTCCCACCACTCCGACTCGTCTTCAATCTGCAGCAGCTGCCGAATCACCTGCTCCTCCTCTATCGTCGCCACTCGCTTCACCAGCGGCTCTAGAGACTCGTCCTCACCCGCACCCGCCAACCCCCCCTCCGCAGCAACCTCCCGTTCCTCCGCCTGACTGTACACCCCCACACTCTCCCCCATGCGCCCTTCCCCGGCATGTCCTTCCCCCGCCACTTTCCCCCCACTTCTCCCACTCCCACCATGGCAGATTGCCTTTGCTGCTACAGCGCCCGAGCCAGGCCCGGCTCGCCGGGCCTCCTTCCGAGCCTTGTCCCGAGCCCGGCGCTCAGCTTCAGCGAGCGCGGCGACCTGGGATTGGAGGAAGACGATGACGGGAAGCGAGTGGAGGCGGCGGAAGGCGAGGAGGCAGACGAGCAGGATGAGCGCGGAGAGCAGGAAGTAGAGGTGCGCGGAGAGGCGCAGGCCCGTGGGCGTGTTGGGGAGAACCGCTTTCGTCAGAATGCGCACTACGGACACCACGATGCCTGCATGTGAAGACGGGATGTGGGGCAAAGACGAACGGAAACTGAGGGACCATGCGAGTGTCAAGGAGATCCGGGAGGCAGTGGGGCCCCGGAGTACAGGCACAGGTTAAAGCCAGGAAGCGAACACGGATCAAGGCGGGATGCAGCTGATGGGATTGACTAGAGAGTTGACTAGATGCTGTAGTGATTGGATTGTGAGTGGACAAGTCGGCAGGCAGGCACGGCAGGAGCAGGCAGCGGGTCAGCTGAAGCCAACCCACCACCCGCAACCTGCGCCTGACGGCACGAACGACCTGCCCAGTCAGTCCATGTGGCGCCAAAGTCAAACCCGCATGGCGAAGTGGCGGATCGCCGAGCCAAACGAGTAATCAGTATGGTGGCGCAGGGCAGGATATCGCATTCAGTTTATCGCGTGCTGCTTCGTCACATGCCTGAAACGCTAGGAGCGTCTCACCTGAAACGCTGGTCCCAGCAGCGAGGGCTTGCGTGTACCGCTCGTGCAGCTCGCCCGCCATGCCGAAGAGACTCCCTTGCACCACCGCATCTATCGCTCCCGACGCCGCCACCGCCGCTACTGTCAGCGCCAGCGCCAACGGCGACGACGCGGCGGGATTCATGGCGGGAGTCGTGGCCACGGCGGGACTATCTGCGTCTTGGACGGCGTTGGGAGGGATGGCGCCGGGAGCGGAGAGGGCGTCGAGCGCAGGGACGAGGAGGACGAGGAGAGTGAATGCGATGAAGCCATTGACAATGCGCGTGCGAGAGGGGACATGCTGGCCGTACCTGGAATCAAGAAAGCAGAACAAAACAAAGACACAGTGAAAAAAAGAAGGTAAACTCAAAACAATGGCTTTGGTGAACAGAAAGCACGGGGAAAGGCAGACTGGAAGAAGCTGAATTCGTTGCCGCTTACTCACAACAGAACGAGAATCAAAGTGCCGAGGTTGGCGAACATGTAAGCGACGCAAAACAGCGTCGCGACGTGGGCCGTTGGATAGAGCAGGTAGAAGTAATCAACGGCTGTGATGAAGGCATTCCACGGGAGGAGAAAGCCGACTCCCAGCAGCAGGAAGATGAAATAGGCGAGGTAAAATCGGTCAGGCGGAGCCACGTTAGAGACCGGGATATGGTCCGCCATGAGACGCTCCGTCAGCATATTCGGGAGTATTTGATGAAACCGGATCAATCCGCGCGTCCAGACAGCATGATAGCAGTCGGAGCCCTGGTAGCCAGCACAGACTCAAACTAAACCCAATCTGGAAAGAGGTATGTGAATTGACTGAATCAGCGCATCTGGCGGCGGTTGATTGAATAGGAGGAGGAAAGGAGGTGGAGATATCCGAGCGAAACACATCAGGGAGGCAAGTGTGTTCATGTACAAATCTTCATGACGTTGTCACATGTTGTCCTTCGCGAGAACTGCTCTGCTGATCACGGAAATGCCGCTGTGAAGCAGGTAATGAAATGAATGAGGGACGCCATTTTTTGGAGGAAGCAGGCAGCAGCACATCATTCTGTCATGGAGACCATGGACTGAACACAGTTCTTTGAACACAACACCACTTCAGGAAAGAACACAGCTCAGATCCCAACGCCTCCACCATCAGTCTTCGTCATTCAGGAACGATCGAACAGTTGAGCAGAAACGCTTTGTCATTATGTCGATTGGACGGTCATTATGAAGTTAAGGACTAACATTGAAGCCAATCAGCAGCCATTCTGTGCGTCTTCTGCCCCATCAGCCCGCCATCGATCGTCACAATCACCTCCTTTTCAAATCGACGGCACAGATGCTTTGACGAGGGAGCTTGACAGGTGAAAGTTGGCTTCAGCCAGTAAGAATCGTTATGCGTATCTAACACCCCCATCCAGTGATAACATGCACGGTGAGGTGGCACGCACATGTGACACTAAGCACTAAAGAGATTGACGCATTTGGTGGCTATGGAGTCTCATTGACGTGTCAGATACTGATTCGTCAATCGCGTGAGGCGATGTTGGTAAAGCGGCAGTTGGAGCCTTTAATTTTGGAATATATATTGCACTGCCTGCGTCAGCAGGTAGTGCAATGAGTCAGCGGGCAAGGAAAACAATAAAACCCAATCGGAAGGCATGCCATTCGGGAGGCATCAACCCTAAAATTTTAGGGTTGAGGCTCCCGAATGGCATGGAGTCCGAATGGGTTTTAGTTTTTTTTTCTGCCCACGGTCAGAATGCTGACTCACTAGGTAGCGTCGTCTAGCGAAATGGTAGTGCTACCGAAGCTACCAAGTGCAATATATTGGTGGACTACGTATTACTAGTCATGCAGAGGGAGGTGTGGTGGAGAGAGGTTCGGTTGGTCATGTGACGGATGACACAACTCTCACTCTTAATACACAGGATGCTCGTTTGACTAACCCAAGGTTGCCTTGTGAAGGGGGCTTTTAAGTGATTCTCGGCATTTCGCAAATTTCGTCAACGTCGCACCTAGCAAAAAAGGATTTACAAAAACAAATGTAACTCCCCGTTGACAGACTTCGGTCTCTTCTGTTTGACTTTGGTTTCTGTGGTTCGTATTGGTTCATAACCACTGCAACTTGCTCGAGGGGCTTGTAATGTGGGTGCAACTGGCTGGTAAATAAAAACGGGTGCAGACTTTCCATCGGGTGCAGGCAAATTCGCGCGCACAGGTTGAGCATCGTGTGTAGTTAATTCTTCGTAGTGTTAGATCACCCATGGGGGGCTTACTAAGGATATTTGGTAAATGTGCTAATGCATGAGAGAAGGATCAACATGTGGAGACACGGATCTTTAAACCACAACTCTTTAAAGCCAAAAAATATAACTTCACACAACAAACACACTGAGGCAACACCTTATCACACTAATTCTCCAGTTTATATCACCTTATGACTCCTAGGTCCTCGTAAACCTGCAGCCATGGCCACACTTGGCCTCGAAATCACTACTACACTCCAAGCTGATGCACTCTAAAGCCTGCACACAAAACACACTATGGGGTGAATGGGCCCCGACAATCTATGTATACACACACTCGAGGCCCTCGCACACCGCACACCTAATCTAAGAGGGGTCCTCCTAGCAACAATCCAATCAGCCTAATCTAAGACGGGATTCAGCCGAACCCCGAGTCAGTAACGCAGCGCACGGCACTTCCTGCGATCGCCCCAGTAATACGGCTCCAGTCGCCAGTCCGAGTGGTAACCACCATACTGCCTGATGAGACTGCGACAACAAGAATTGCAGCACAACCCGCGAAGTTGTTGCGCGGCGTGCAGATGATACACGTCATCAACGGTGGTGGGGAATTGGCTCCCGACGGGGAGAAGAATTGCGGCCGCGAGGCCATATTTACATGTTTCGACACGTCGTGGCTCCTGGTTGGAGCAAAAGCTCCAGTAATAAGAGCCCCGATAAACTTTACAAGCCGGCGACGCAATACAGCGCGTCAGTTGTGGGCTTTTGCTCGGAAGCGGGCAGCCGCCAGACATCCATGCACTGAGAGACTCTTTCGGCACAGTCCCTAGCGTACTGTGCACGCAACCGTTGGCTCTCAGCCCGTCGCCGAATCCGCTGCTTAGAGTACTCGACGAAGTAGCTCTGGTTCTCCTTCTCCAAAGCTTTCCACACTGCCAAAGGATTAAGAGTAAAGCGGAGAAACGAGTCAGTCGAGAGAGAAGCAAGACGCGGATAGAGACAGCTGGGCTTCTAGAAACTAGAGGGAGCGGAGAGAAGAGTCAGACGAAAAGGCAGAAGCGAGACGGAGATAAAGGAAGTTATCAGACTGAGAGTCAGTTCGGCGAAACTGGGAATCAAGGAGGGTGCGAAAGAAGCAGGAAGCACGAGAGCGTACCAGTAGCAGTGATAGCAGGCTTGACTCCCGCGTGCTTCGCTAGAGCGACGACGCACTCCTCACGGCTCAAATTGAGAAGAAGGCATCGCTCAATCAGGTGCTGCACCATCTGCAAGTAGCTCCTAGTCGACTCTCGGGAATCGGCCGAAGCCGGGGATCCAGCAGTGCCTGTAGAACGAGCTGGAGGACCCATGGTGTGCTTGTACAAGCTACTGAGTGCTACTAAGGCGTCAGTGGCTGTGAAAACGACGCAGTCTCAGGAGCTATTGCAGTGCAAACGAGAGAATAGCCTGCTATGCACTCACAACAATTTCTAGGTCGAGACTTCAACCTCTAAATAGAATCTCGCAGGCAGGTTGTGTGGGTTTCTTATGGCGGCGGCTCCTTTCCTTATCGGAGGTTGTGTTGCATGTTGCGCCAAATCTGGCAGCCCAATCACCTGATGCTGCTGCTGCTGCTGTGGCTTGGTGGATGGGGTGAGTGGGAGGGAAGTGAGGTGAGTGGGTCTGTGGGAGAGCTGGGAGCGGATTGGGTGTGTCGTGTGATTGATCGGGGGGAAGAGAGGGAGGGGAAGAGGGGAGGGGACGTGGCAGGGTGGGGGGGTGGGGTCAAGGTTTTCCCCCTACACGTCAACCTCCTCGGGGTTTCAGCCGTCGATTCCCCAATCCGCTGTGTTGGCTTGACAGGCTCTCTGGCGGTCTTGTAATCGCCCAGCGTGGCGGATTCCAGGGGGGGGCTGTTGGACGCGCTCTGAATCTGATTGGGCTGCGGTGACACGCAGGTTACTGGCCTGAGGCACCACTCCAACCACAAATCTCCCGCCAATCTCCGCGGGCTCTTATTGGCTTATTAACGCTATGGCATCACTGGCTTGTGCGAAGGGAAGAAGACACCTGCCGCCACGGTGGCAACCAGCGTGGAAAAATGATCGAATTGCGTAAGGTGTAGTCTGTTGAAGGGAGGCGGTTGTTCATGGACGAATTCAAGGTAAGACACGTCAGGATACATTACGGCGCACATGTGCCGTTGATTTCTTTGCGAGGGAAACTCGCTGGAGGAAATCGTTGGTGGAGGATATCCATGGTGCTGAAGCGGGAACGACGAGGAGTTGAAGAGACGGACTTGAGGCAAGCGATTTGGCGGAACCGGGGATTTCAAGCAACCTATCTAGTTCGAACACGTCGTCAACCTACCTGATCTCCCCAACCACAAGTGTATCTTGGTGCACCGAAATCTGCACATCTGGTTTCTCCACTTCTTTCTCTTCTTCCCCCACTGAGTCTGGATAAAGACCCCGACGTTTCCATGTGACGTGGAAGATAGTTGATGGCTTGCAGCCTGCTAGGAAACAGAGTGGTGTTATTGTACGACACGTACACATGCTTTCTGTTATACAGGGAATATGTGAGTTGGCTGAAAAATATTTTTGTTTCTGCCTAAACGATAGGTCCTGGCTGATGTATACGGTGTATAAACTCTGTCCAGACAAGTCTCTGGAAGACATAAACCCCATCTGCATCTGCCCAACCTGAAACAAATCCCCGCCCCGAGTTGGGACCAGTGATGCATTCGGCAGCGGAATATCTCAGCGGAAACGGGTCGTCAAGCCTGACGACCTCTTGACGACTTGACGACATGCTGCCCCTGGCAGAAAAAAAAAACTAAAACCCTATCGGATGGCATGCCATCCGAGGGAGGCATCAACCCTAAATCCAGGCCTCCCTGTGTTTAGGGTTGATGCCTCCCTGACCGGATGCATGCCCGAATGGGTTTTATTTTTTTTGCCCGCGGGCAGCGAGGTCCCCCGGGCGGACTCGCTTGTCCGCTGAGATATATTCGGAGGTGGATCCAGTGAACAGTATCATATCGAGGAATCAAATGTGTGACCTGCAAGCACTACGTAGGGTTGACGTCATCAGTGATTGACACGAGCAACACGTATGAAAGCTTCTTGTAACAAAGGCACCAATTAACCAGTAACTAAAAGCATATATAATTCAGGGATTCAGGGAATCAAGAGAACTCATCACAAGCTGCCTTGCAAGACAAGCAGTTTACACATAAAATGCTCTACCTTAGAGGAAAAAAAAAAAAAAAACTACACATTATGCTAATACAAATAAATGCTGCTGCAGGGATGTGGTGCAGCCATACATGCACTACACATGGCTAATGCAATATAAAATGTACCAGTAGGTAGAATGAATCAGACTTCCACCTAAAGCATGTTAGTGCTAGTACACTACCTGGTGTTGAACACACTTTCATCAGCATAACCAGCA